AAATCCGCTCTTTTCCGATTTCTTTAAAAGCGCTTTCCGACATTTACTGTAAATCTAAAGATGAACTTTATGCATCTTTATCATACCCTCTATCAATTCATTATATGTGAGTGCAAAGGAAAGATTTTATTGATCTGCTTGAATATACCTTTCAAGCAGATGGATAGGTGTATATTTTACAAAGATAAAAAAGTACGAAATACTTGCTTTCCTACGGGGAAGCAAACCGATTGGTCGAAAACCAGTGCAAAAGTTAGTGTGCGGAAATTTGTGACATATTTTCGTGCTTAACATAAAATTACATAAAAAATCAAAGTTTGGACCGTCCGCTGGTGATTTTAAGTTCAGTGGGCCGGTCGCGATGAACGGCCTCGATGCGATATTACTGCTGGCGCCGTCTCCCTCGTTCTTATGCTGCATGTTGGAGAAGAAATCTTTTTTTAGCAATGGGCATTATTTAATAATTATAGTAAGCTTATGTCCTTAATAACTAGGACATGCATGTTGAGAAGTTTTGAGTAAATTAGTCTATCTTCATCCATGTCGTATACCAACAATACTTCCGTCCGAAGCTCACGATGCCTATTAAACAATTTCATTATTTCGAGACAACCGGGAAAATGTCTGCCATTTTTAAATTCCCCCCAGAGCCGTTAATAGTATATAACTTAATACTTTGAATAGGTACTTTCTGACAGACTTAAAGACAGAATTAAGATGAGGCTACTCAGTCCTCATGCGATAAAATCAAACCAAAGTAAGGTTCACCGTCTAAAACACTATTTTATAGAACGCGTTTTCTAAATGCAAATAAGAATAATAATCAAAGTAATCTATCTTGGTGTGCGTTTATAGGCGTAGGTTGAAAGGTGATACAAATACTTTTATTTTGACCAATTCATAATTTGAGTTCCATGTTTCTTATCATCTCGCGTTTACGCTAAAAACCCTCTTTCTCACAAAGTTACGGTTCAGTCGCCGTCAAATTTGTGGTTAGTTATATTGTATGACGTTAGCAATGACATAAAGTCTTTTATCCTACCAATGTTTATATTTTGGCATCAGACAGTTTGTTACTTTGAAGCATTCGTCTCTCGTTTTTTATGCATTGAAATGGTTTGGCGTTAATATATCGTATTTTTCCTACGTTATTTATTCTACTGTGGGGTAAAATGTATAGAACTTCTCTTGAGAAATCTTTGGTTTGATAGTACATAAAGCATTACGTTCCCTTTATGCAGGTCGCTTACGTCTATAAACTTTCCGCTGGAACTTCATTTTCATCTCAAGTTAAAAAATGCGTTGAAACCTGCACGAAATATTATTTCAAATGATGATTATATAAACTTTTCTAATTTCTAATTTTTACGTTAACAACATTTCCATGCCTGCATATCCTATTGTACACTAAGCGAAGGCCGCATTAAAATTGTATATTAAATTCCTTGCTTATTCCTGCAAATTTTGAAAGGCTTTAGTGATATCTTCACACCTTAAAAAATTAAGTTTCACCGCTATTTGCTCAAATCATGTGTTTAAGACAGTTCATCTGTATTCGAGTGCTATAATTTGTT